GCAATTTCATCAGAAACCATAGAGGCCAGAAAGGGTGGCATATATATTTTTTTAATTTTAGAGACAGAGTATGCAACCGAGTGTGCAAGCAGGGGAGGGTCAGAGAGAGAGGAGAGAGAGAATCTCCAGCAGGCTCCCCGCTCAGTGCAGATCTTGATGTGGGGCTTGATCCCACAACCCTGGGATCATGACCTGAGCTGAAAAAAAGGGGTGGACACACTCAACCGACAAGCCACAGGCATCCCAGGATGGCACTTTTTCAAGCGCTGAAAGAAAAGGACTGTCAAACCAAAATACTGTATCGAGAGAAAATATCCTTCAGGAATGAAGGGAAAACAAGATACTCCAGATCAAGGAAAACTAAGATAATTGCTCGCAGCAGAACTGCCCTAAAACAGTGGCTCCGGTAAGTTCTCCAAACAGACAGAAAATGATAAAGAAAGCAATGTTGGGCATCAGGAAGGAAGAAAATACATTGTAAGCAAGAGACATGGCAAATATAATAAATTTTCATCATCTGGAGCTTTCTTTTTTATTTATTTATTTATTTATTTATTTATTTTAATTTTTTTTTTCAACGTTTATTTATTTTGGGGACAGAGAGAGACAGAGCATGAACGGGGAAGGGGCAGAGAGAGAGGGAGACACAGAATGGGAAGCAGGCTCCAGGCTCTGAGCCATCAGCCCAGAGCCCGGCGCGGGGCTCGAACTCACGGACCGCGAGATCGTGACCTGACTGAAGTCTGACTGCGCCACCCAGGCGCCCCTCATCTGGAGCTTTCTAAGTTAGTGTTTGACAGTTTGAAGGAAAAGGTATAACATTGTCTGACATGGTTCTAATGTATGTAAAAGAAATTGCTAAGACAAGTACATTACAAATGAGGAAGGGTAGAGTGACAAGAAGGGAGGTAAGGTTACTACAGCTCAGGCAAAATGGTGACACGAGGTGTCTGTGGGAAGGCAAATCCACATGATGTACGTCCTGGAGCAGCTGCTGAGAATCTATGCGAAGGGAGACAGTCCAAAAGCTACACATAAAGGAATATGGAATCCGAAAGATGTACAAGTAGTCCATAAAACAAACAAACAAAGGAACAAAAAGCGAAAATCACAGAACCAAGCAGAAGCAAAAAAATAAAATGCCAGACTTAAGCCCTAATGTATCAATAATTGCATTAGATATAAATAGTCTAGGTACACCAATCAAAATACAGATATTAAGAGGGTGGATTAGAAAACATGACCCTGCTGTCCGCAGGAAGCTCACGACAAATATAAATACAGAGGCAGGCTGAAATTACGAGGGGAAAACAGATATGTCATGAGGGACAGCTGGAGTAACTATGTCATCAGTAAAGTAAGCCTCAGGACAAAGATCATTAACAGAGACAAAAAAGGACATGATATAACGGTAAAAATTGTACATTTACCAAGATGGCAGAGTCATCCCCGATACCACGCACCAAACCACAGAGCTGTGAAATATGCGAAGAAAAAACTAAGAACTGCTAGAATTGAAAAGAAAAATAGAGGGGCGCCTGCGTGGCTCAGTCTGTTGAGCTTCCGACTTCTGCTCAGGTCATGATCTAATGGACTGTGGGTTCGAGCCCCGCATCGGGATCTGTGCTGACAGCTAAGAGGCTGGAACCTGCTTCAGATTCTGTGTCTCCCTCTCTCTCTGACCCCTCCCCTGTTCATGCCCTGTCTCTCTCTGTATCAAAAATAAATAAACATTAAAAAAATTTTTTTAAAGAAAAGAAAAATAGACAAATCCACAATTATAGTTGAAAACTTCAAAACCTCTTTCAGAATAATTGATACAACTGAACAGGAAATGATCAAGCATAAAGAAGAACGCAAAAATACTATTGGCCATCAGCATCCAGTTTTTTTTTCTCGTTTTTTAAAATGTTTATTTATTTTTAAGAGACAGAGCGTGAGTGGGGGAGGAGCAGAGAGAGAGGGAGACACAGAATCCAAAGCAGGCTCCGGTTCCGAGCTGTCAGCACAGAGACCAATGCAGGGCCTGAACCCAGGAACTGTGAGGTCAGGACCTGAGCCGAAGTCAGACACACAACCAACTGAGCCACCCAGGCACTCCCCAAACCCAGTTTTCTTATCCAGTTTTATTGAGATGTACGTGACATAGAGCACTGTATACGTTTAACACATACAGCGTAACAACTTGAGTTACATGTATTGTGAAATGATTATCGCAATGACTTTAGTTAACATTCATCATGTCATAGATACAAAAAAAAAAGAAAATATGTGTTTCTCTTTGTGATAAGAACTCTTAGGATTTACACTCTTAATGACTTTTTTAAATATGAAATTTATTGTCAAATTGATTTCCAAACAACACCCAGTGCTCATCCCAACAGGTGCCCTCCTCAATACCCATCACCTCTTAATGACTTTCGAAAATACCATACAGCAGAGTTGACTATAAATGACTTATTATATCCCAGTACTTATTTATTAGTAACTGGAAGTTTTTACCTTTTTTAAAAAAAAGGGTTTTTTTTTAATATTTATTGGTTTTTGAGAGAATAGAGAGCCTGTGAGGTGGAGGAGTAAAGAGGGAGCGAGACAGAAGCCGAAGCAGGCTCCAGGCTCCGAGCTGTCAGCACAGAGCCCGACGTGGGGCTCGGGCCCAGGAACTGTGAGATCATGTCCTGAGCCTAAGTTGGCTGCTCAACTGACTGAGCCACCTAGGCACCGAAGAAGATTTTACCTCTTGACCACATTCATCAAATTCCCCCATTCTCCACCTGCCACTCCCTGCCTCTGGTGCCATAAGTCTGATCTCTTTCTGTTAGTGTCTTGGGTGCTTTACTTTTTATTCCACATATAAGTAACACCATACAGTATTTGTCTTTCTCTGACTTATTTCACTTAACACAATGCCTGCAAGGTCCATCCATGTTATCACAAATGGCAGCATTTCCTTTTTTATGGCTGAATAATATTCCTGTGTGTGTACCACAGCTTTATATATATAATTTGAGGGGGGAGGGGCAGGAGAGAGAGAGAATCTTAAGCAGGCTCCATGCTCAGTGCAGAGCCTGACACCGGGCTCCGCCCCACGACCCCGGGATCATGACCTGAGCTGAAATCAAGAGTTGGAGGCTCAGCTTACTGAGCATATTTGTAAAAATACTATTGAGTCTATTTTGAAAATGACAGAAACTGATTCGTCTGGCAGAAATTCCCTTATCCGACTTACAGAGCTGGTAGAACAGGATGATAAGAGAGAAGGGATGGACTTCACTGAGGAAGAATCTAGAAAGGTATCAAACACAAAGATCTTCGAGTTCTGACGTGTGAGTGTGTGTGCATGTGTGTAAAATGCTGGTGGTGGCAGGACAAGAAAGGTACTGAGCTCTCTGGTCACATAAAAGCACAGTTAGGAAAGTCTCCAGCATTACTGAGTGATGTTTCTTTGCATTACACCAGGAAGAATCTGGATATTGGTTGGATTCACGATATTTATATTAAGGACGCGGGCTTTGTTTTTCCTGTTTGCCCCATGAACACCATAGGAACTGTTTATTGAATATCTATTACAGTAGCTGGACTGTGTACGCACAGTGCTATTGGAATGCCTGTGTTTGTAGAGGTATTGGACAGTTTCTCAATGGAGAATCTTTTAAAGATCTAAACATTGTGTTCAAGGCAAAGAGCACACTCAGGCCCTGTTATATGTAATTCAGGAAGCCTACAGGTAACAAGACTGTATTGCACATATGAAACTTACTAACAGTAGATCCTAAAAATCCTCATCACAAGAAAAAAACTGTAACTATGTGTGGCGATGGATATAATAACTAGACTTCCTGCGATGATCATTTTGCAGTGCATACCAATATCAGATCATTATGTTGTGCACCTGAAACTAATATAGTTTTATAGGTCAATTATATATCAATTTAAAAAGAAATAAATGTGAACGAATTGATTTAAAGAATAGATCTAACGTATCACCATTGTGCCACCATCATGGTAATGATTGATTACCATAGAAAATTTATCCATCTATTTTGAAACTGTGGGTAAAAGAGGGCACCTGGGTGGCTCAGTGGGTTCAGTGTCTGACTTCAGCTCAGGTCATGATCTCACAGCTCGTGGGTTCGAGCCCCGCGTCGGGCTCTGTGCTGACAGCTCAGAGCCTGGAGCTGCTTCGGATTCTGTATCTCCCTCTCTCTCTGCCTCTATCCCGCTCATACTCTGTCTCTTTCTTTCTCTCTCTCTCAAAAATAAGTAAATATTTTTTTAAAGTGATGGATAAAATTTTGGTGAGGAATGAAGTACTTGTTTGACCTCAAATATTTCTGCCCATTTTACAAACTAACTGAATGAAGGGAAACATTACATTTAGTTAACCCCACTAATAAATGAAAAACCCTTAAGTGATACACTGAGAACGAACATAGTTTGTATTTTTGCCAAACTGTGTAACCCGAACCCAATCATGAACACCAGATAAGCCCAAACTGAAGGGTCTACTCGACGACTGGCTTGAGTTCCTCACAACCGCCAGCGTCAGGAAAGGAAGGAAGGGTTGGGGAGCCATCCCAGATTGAAGGACACTGAGAACAAGAAAGCCACCTGCCGCGCATGACCCTGAACCGGGCGGGGAAAGTCGCTCAGAAGGACCTTTTTTTAATGATTGGTGGAATTCAAGTACAGCTGGGAGTTACGTCGTAGTACGCTATTAATGCTAACATTTCAGAATTTTAACTATTAGAAATAAGACCTGACAATATGCAAGTTATTCTGAAATCAGAAAAAATAGTAATTTGTGTGTTTCCATTTGGGGGGAAGAGAAAAAACAAGTGTGGCAAAACGATTGAAGTGGACAAATCCGGGTTCGGTGGCGGTCGCTCCTGGCACAGGAAGCCGTGTCTGTCTGCAAAGCACCGACCCACCGACCACGGAGGTCGCGATCGCGGGAGCGCTCCGCACGAGGGGCCCCGCGGGAAGTGGGAAGAAGGGAGTCACCGCTCCCGGCGCTGCCCGCGGACCGCAGGGGGGTCACCGGCCGTCCGGCCACCGTCGCGGGTCGGGTCCCGGGTTCGCGCCGTCGCGGGTCCCGCCCGGGTTCGGGTTCGTGTAGGGGACGCGACTCCGAGACCCTCGGAGGGCGAGACGGAGGGAGGGAGCCGGAGGGGAGCGGGGGGCGTCCCGGGCGGCCGCACCTGCTTCGGGAACCCGAGCCAAGGGCGCGCGCCCTTCCCGCCTCGCCCATAATGCGGTGCGACAGTCACTGGGTTTGTGGGGATCCCGGGTCCTGTGGGGTCGGGGGGTCGGGGACCCACACTGTTTAAAAGCCGCAGCTGATTCTGAAAACCAGAGGGTTTGTCAGGCCGAGGCCTGGAGACGCCGCCGCGGACTGAGGCCGGGCGGGGGGGGGGGGGGGGAGGGGGGCCCCCGCGGGAAGTAGGCGAGGGGGCCCCGGGGGCCCCGGGAGCGGGCGGGCGCCGGGAGCGGGCGGGCGGGGGTGACGAAGGCGAGCGGAGGGTCGCGTGAGTGGGCGCGAGAGGCCGGGGTGGGGGTGCGGGGGGAGAAGATCGGTTCCCGGTCCCGAAGGGAGCTGAGCGCGCGTTTTCCCCGGACGGTCGCGGCGTCGCACCGGAGAGGAGGCGCGCGGCGGAGTCGGCGGGGTCGGTGGGGTCGGCGGGTCCGCGCAGTCGGTGCGGTGGGTGCGCCCAGCGGGGTCCGCGGAGTCGGTGCGCCCGGCGGGTCAGCGGAGTCGGTGGGGTCGGTGCGCCCGGCCGGGCCGGCGGGTCGGCCGGGTCTGATCCCTGCGCGGTGACGGCCCCGAGAGGAGCTGCAGGTGGGAGCGGGGTCTGCCGGCGTCCGCACGTCGGGCAGCGGGAGGAACGAGTGTTTCCTGGACGTTGAGTGTTGAGGTAGAAGCCGTGGCACGGACCCTAAGGCAGTAACTGGTGCCAGGACGGCGGGCACCTTGTGTGAACAGGTGCAGGGTGTCGGCTGGGTCCAAGGGCCGACGGCTCGGGACTGCACGTGAGCGGTGACATCTGTCATGTAAGCAAGCCTCGGGAATCCAGGTGTCTGTCTCAGAATCTCACCCCCGCTTCTGCAGGGGCCCCGGCGTTGCCCATGTCCGATTCTTGGAGGCACAGGGAGAGGGACCTGTCACGGCCCCCTCGTAATCGAAGCCCTTGTAAGGCAGCAGAGACTTAGGCTTAGTGGACAAGGTACAGACGTGAGGGCAGCAGGGGGAGGGGGAGGCGCAGGATTTCTTCCATGGAGGGAGGAGTGGCCTGCGAGCCAACAAGTCTCACCCGCTGCAGAAGCAGCCATACCGGAAGGAGATATTTTAATCACAATTCACTCATAGTATAGTTTTTAGCAATTTGATCCCAGACGAGAGAACTGGCCAAATTAGTTGGGACGGAGAGGACATTTCGGTGTTTGCCATAGGGCTAGAAGTCCTCCAAGTTTGGCTTTCTGAGACCCCCAAATAGTTTGATAGAACCCATGGCATTTTGGTAGATCAGGTCTCCCCGCGCCCATTGGAGCTCATCCACAGAAAACTCAGGGGCTGTGTGATGGGACCCACAAAGTCACCTAAATTATTGTCCGGGGGACTGGACCTGGAATCTGGAAGTCTGCTCAACAGCACCCTAATTCCACATGCCCTCTCCAGGTCCTTTCTCACTAACACCCACACTCCATGTGCTTAAATGCTAGAGAAAGCACTCAGATTAAAGAGAATGCATGGAATGACCACATTACCCCCCTCGAAAACAGCACCCTGGAACAAGTAATTGGCCCCAGGGAGCACCACCAATCAGCAGCCAGGCAGACTCCAGGCAGTCCCCCTCGGGAGTGCCCGCTGTAGATTTTGTCACTGGAGAAGGGAATCTGGAAATAAGGACATCCCAGCCTGGCGGAAAGTTAGACTTACAGACTGGAAACAAATTTAATTCCCTCCCAAAGACAAATGATCCAGCAGGAAATAAATCCACAGAGAGCAGCAGTTTTGAAACCATCCTGCATCGGAATTCTTGAAAAGGTGCCGTTAGGGACTGAATTGTGTGTCCCCCCTCCCCATCTCCAAATCCATATGATGTCCTAACCGCACAGTGCAACTGTATCTGAAGATGAGTCTTTAGGGAGGTAATAAAGGTTCAGTGAGATAAGGGTGCCTCTCATAGGAAGAGGAAGAGACACAAGGCGTGTGCACACGAAGGAAAAGCCACGCGATGGGACAGCAAACGGAGAAGGCCGCTGTCGGCTGCTTCCTGAAAAGGGCTCACCAGAAACCAGCCCTGCGGCACCTTGATCTTGGCCCCCAGAACTGTGAGAAAAGAAATTTCTGTTGCTCGAGTCTGTGGTATTCTGTTACGGTGACCCTAGCGACTAATGCAGGTGCCACCAGTGGGTCAGGAACTCCTAGGTGTTCCCTGGCCACACAGAGCAGAGGCGAAAGTTCAGAGGAAGTGGCCGCCCTTCACCCGCAGAAGCGGCCGACACACCTGTGTTCTTGTCACCTTTGCATCTCTTTCCCGTTGTGACGGAAAAGCCTTTCCTACTTCCTCATGTGAGGGCCTTCATTTGATGTTAACGGAGGTCTCCAGGCAATGTTTTGTTTCGAGATTGAAAACAACGGTGAAAACAGGGTGAGTGAAGAAATGTAGGGAAGCAGGTATTATGGAATATCGATTGAGAATGCGTTGATCCACGTTTATTTCTTTCATGTTTGGAAGGCCCCTATTGAGGTCCCTGGCCATCTCCACCCCCCCCCCCCCCCGGCGTCCAGCATCCTTTGGCTTGCTCACCCCGGAGGGGCTTGGGGTCCGCAAGTGCTGGGGGTCTGTAGAGCAGCCAGAGGAGTAATGCTGCTCTCATTCTGCGTTTGGCCCAGAAAACAGAAAGAACCAAAGAAAATGTAGGTAGGGCGATGCTGTTTCTTCTCCGTTGTTGTATTTCCCTCTCTTTAATAATAGTACACGGTGGGAACCACGGTGAACCGCTAGCTTTTGTTCGGGTTCAAGGGATGTTGTTAGGGTCCCGTCCCCCTGGGTGGTGTGGGGGCTCACAGCAAGAGATGAGGGAGAATTCAAGACAACCCATTAGGTTTTTCCCTCCATATGTGCAGGAATGGAACAAAAAGTTAGGAGTGCTAGATCAGTATTTCTTGAAGAATTAAAAAAAAAAAAAAAAAAAGCTATAGCTTGGAGGTGCCGGGGATCGAACCCGGGCCCTCATACATGCAAAGCACGCGCTCTACCACTGAGCTACACCCCCCTCCGCAAGGGCTCGCTGCTAACGGTTATCTGGAAATAAGTTTTGTTTTCTGAGGCCCTTGATTCCTGCCTGTTGTGGTGGTTCAGTGTTAACGGGGCTCCCGCGGCTGCTTTGAGCAGGAGACCTTCAGGAACCAAAGAGGGGCACTGATTCTTCAGAGTGTAGAACTTGAGATGGAAAGGAAGACACTGGAAACGTGTCCGGTGATAGCCAAGAAGTGTCTCCTGTGGCTTCAACACGTGTTTACAGTTTCCTTCTCCCATTCCTGCCAAGGAAGTAATCAAGCCCCAGTTTTCAGCTCTTTCGCTTTCCTTCAGATATGTCTTACCCTGAGACACAAGGCTTTGGAAAGTCAGCATTTTCCGGCCTAAAATGGTTCATAATATTTCTTGTTTGCTCCATTGGAATGTTAAGTATCAGATTTAATAGGGAAAAGGCATCACGACCCTAAAAGGAAACCCTAGAGTGATGCATTCAGCATTTCACTTAAAGGGTCGTTTCTCTTCAAACTTAGGAGGCCCTGCCAATGGTCCAAAATCTCTTTTTCAAAAGGCATTCATTAGGCATGAAGGAAACAGCTTTGGGGATGGAGAGAAATGTTGGATTGTGACAGTGAGACCAAAGGTAAAGAGACACAAGATTTAAGGGTCAAGGGAAAAATTATCTATTTATTTATAGGAAACATCATGCCATTATCAAACAGAAGAAGTGCAGAAAACAGGTTATAAAAATTCTTTTGGAGATGGAGGGAGGGGGGAGGATGGGAACATGAGGAACATGAGCTAGCTTTGCGCACATTAAATTCGAGATACATGCAGCGCACTTGTGAGGATGCTACACGGCCAACTCAGGATCACCTGGGCTTCAAGCCTTGGGTTTGTGAGTCACTGGGAGACCCAAGAATGAGAAGCCAGATAAAGACCAAAGAGTGTGCTCATTAGCGTTCACTCCTGGACATTTCTTGAACCCTGGGACTTATCCTGGTTAAGACTGTGTTCTTTGAACTACATGAGAAGATGCTGAGAAAACCAATTTCCTGGTACCGTATTTCTAGTGGTTAAGTGTTTCGCATTCTGGTTTCCCCATATATGAGCTTTTGCCAGTATTCCTAAAATGACTGAGTCCTTTCTGAAATTGGAGGAATAAGATTTGTCTGGCAGACTAGTTCTCTCACTTGGCTCATGGAACTTTTATTTCCTTTATTTTCTTTTATTTCCAGTATGGTTGATAATGCAGTGTTAAATCCGTTTCAGGGGTACAATATAGGGATATGGCAATTCTATGCATTACTCACTGCTCATCAGGACAACTGTGCTCTTAATCCCCTTCACCTATTCTACCCGGCCCCCCACCCACCTCCCCTCTGGTGACCATCAAGTTCTTCTCTGTAGTTAAGAGTCTGTTTCTTAGGGGTGCCTGGGTGGTGCAGTCGGTTAAGCGTCCGACTTCAGCCAGGTCACGATCTCGCGGCGCGGTCCGTGAGTTCGAGCCCCACGTCGGGCTCTGGGCGGATGGCTCGGAGCCTGGAGCCTGTTTCCGATTCTGTGTCTCCCTCTCTCTCTGCCCCTCCCCCGTTCATGCTCTGTCTCTCTCTGTCCCAAAAATAAATTTAAAAAGTTGAAAAAAATAAAAAAAAAGTCTGTTTCTTGGTTTGTCTTTCCCCCCAACTTTGTTCATTTGTTTTGTTTTCTTACATTACACACTTGAGTGAAATCATATGGTATTTGTCTCTCTCCAACTGACTTTGCCGTGCAATTCCTGGGTCGTAGGGTAGTTTTATTTTTGATTTTTTGAGGAGTCTCCATACTGTTTTCCGGAGTGGCTGCACCAGTTTGCTTTCCCACCAGCAGTGCAAGAGGGTTCCTCTTTCTCCACATCCTCACCAACATCTTTGTTGCCTGAGTTGTTAACGTTAGCCATTCTCATAGGGGTAAGGGGGTATCTCATTGTGGTTTTGATTTGTATTTCCCTGATGATGAGTGATGTTGAGCATTTTTTCATGTGTCGGTTGGCCATCTGGATGTCTTCCTTGGAGAAGTGTCTCTTCATGTCTTCTGCCCATTTTTTTAATTGGATTATTTGGTTTTTCGGTGTTGCGTTGTATAAGTTCTTTATGCACACATACATCCACATAATAATGGATACTCTCGTTTTCTGGTTGCAGAATTGTCCTTGCACATACACGAGCACACACCACACACATTCTACCACAACATTGCAGTGGTTCTTTCTCTGCAGATTCCCCCCTGCAATTGTGTGGATTAAAAACATCACACACACACCCATCAAGACAGAAATGAGTTGTAAGGGTAATGGCATGTAACATATTGGAATTTCTTAGGTTGTAAAACTTTAAATGAAACATTCGCTATGTCGGTTAACGTTTCATCCAAGACCTCAGTGAATAGGAACCAAGAGAGTGTGACAAAAACGCGCCCCTGCCCTCCCCCACGTGCCGGGACAAAAGCCAAGCTGCCGAAACCCGGGGTCGAACCAGGGACCTGTAGATCTTCAGTCTAACGCTCTCCCAGCTGAGCTATTTCGGCTGCTGGAAGGTTCCTTCTTTAGTCATTCTCCAATTAGTAAAGTGTGCATCGCGGGGCCAGGGTACCCTTCCTCACCCCCCCCCAACGTGTCCGCTCCCACTTTCCTCCCAGGCACCCGCTTCCCCGAGGGTTGGGGGGGGGGGCAGGGGAAGGGCTCCCGGAAACCCTGCGCGAGGAGAAGGCCTTCGGAGGCAGCGGGTGAGCTGGAGGAGGAGGGGCGGGTAGAAATGGGTCAGCAGGTGCTCCCTGCGTGGTCGCCTGGGGTTCCCCACGACGCGAATGCCGCTCGGGGATGCAGGGAATTCAACACGAATTACCGAGTCTTCTCCGGTCCTTTCTCTGTCTTGCTCCTCAGGGGCCGAGCAGCAGGAACAGGGCTAGTGGGCACGTGGGGGCGGTGACTGGCTTCTTGCTCGGGGTTCAGGAAATCCGGACGAGCCGGTGTTTCCTCCCTGGCTTCCCGGAGCGGACACTGCGGGCGGCCGAGGGGAGACCCCAGGCGGG